GTTTCCCTGGAAGATGATTTATCAGACATTATCTGTCTTTATCCCCTCTCCAACCAATAATATTAGACTTAAAAATGTTGGGTTTTACCCTGTGCATTTAATCATTCCGTCTGCGTAGAAACAAGCTCTAATGTTGCACATCTTGGAAAACAGCCATCTCCCCCAATCCTGTGTGGGTCTCAGGTACCAGCTCTCAGTCACACCAGGCCTTTCCAAACCACCATAGGAGCCACCTCCGCGTCCTCATCGCTCCTTCTCCTGACAGGACATCCCTCTGGCTCCCAGCCCTCCTTCCTTGAGAAGTCAGTGACCGTGGAGCCCAGCACTATCCTCACTTCTGTGTCTGTTTCTTACTAAAATGCTAAGTAGAAGTCAACACTATGTTTTTACTTCTTGGAGCTCTTTATTCTTCTGATTTTGTGATACCTATTTTTCTCTGTTCCTCAAAGGCTAACTTGCAACCCCTTAGTGGCGGTGACTTTCTTCTGGACCCTACAGCTGGGAGGACCTTGAGCTCCAGTCTGTGTACTCTTCTCGTCTCTATCCACCCTCCCTCCCTATTACCTTTGGTGCTGTAGATTTTAATTCCATCTGTATGCCAGCATAGCCTGCCTGTCCGTCTGTCTGTCCCTCTGTCCTGACCTTGTGTGGTCCTGACTCATATAGACACTTGCTGCTCTACTCTTGACTGAGCTTTTAAGGAAATCTCTCATATGGCCGAGAGAGCTCAAAATGTCCACCCTACAATGAACTCCTCTCCCTTTTCAGGAAAGGACACTGTCGTTCAACTAGTTCTCCTAACTGAAACCTTGCAGGTTATTGATGGATTCTCTTTTTCTGAACTGCTTAAACATCCTTTAGAGCAGACGCTTCGGCTCCACTTCAGGATACATCAAAGCCCACCCCCCTGCCTCGTCTCCACTGCTCTTCCCTTGACCTAAGCCCCCATTCGTCTCTCCTCAGTAGGAAAGCAGCTTTCCAGTCTTCTGCCTGCTGCCACTTCCGGTTCCTACAGTTTATCTTCCAAATGTTATGGATTTTCCAATTTTTAATGTGTTTTTGAATGTAGAATAATAAGATATGTTAAAATATACTAGATTTCCAATTCTTTTGTTCTTTGTATAATACTTGGGACAGTGGTTTCAAGTCAAAGGTTTCCCATCGTAATTTGCTAGTAGAATTCGTGTCTTCATCAAGTTAATGATTCTTCAGTGGATACAAGTAATTTTTAGATAGTGGCAGTGTCCTTAATACACATGATAGTATTTTCTAATACTTAATGGTTTAATGCATTATGGTGATACTAGGAAATATTACATATATTAGCATATATTTATGCTTTAGTTACAGCATAGATAGAGAGATGGACACAGATAATTATATGCATTTGTACTTGCATGGAATGTATGTGATTTTAACAAATTTTTCAAGTGAACTTGCAATCCCATATGAGAATGTATAAATGAAAAGTCTGTGCAGCCAAATCATCGATCCATTTGTAGAATAAATGAGATAAGACTTTGTGTTTTCCTAAACCGATGTGTAATGGAACAGTCGCAGGACTGAGATTCTGGAAATCAGACTCTAGCCCCATTCAGCCGCTGGCGTGCTGTCCAGCATCATTACACTCCCCGGAATGGAGGCTCCGTGGGGCGGGCATTTTTGTCCTTCGTTCCTCACTATTTCCCCAGCATCTGGGAGACACCGGGCCCAGTGCAAGTGCCGAGCAAATCTTACTCCTCAGATCACAGTTTCCGCGTCTAGGAAGTGGCGTTCCTTCCAACCCCACATTCCGAACTATATTAGAGCCCTTATGAGTTTAAATAAGACAGATTCACAGCCAGAACTGTTGACCCAGCTTCTACCTGGCCCTTGTAAGGTCGTTTAGCCCCACACCAGCCTGTCAAATTATGTTTTTTCAAAGTACCAAATTTTTACATTTTGGAAGCTATTAAGGTTTAGATCTGCTCGAAGATATCCCCTTCTTTAAGGAAACTTGATATCCCAATTAGAAAATACAACAAGCTATTAAAGACTCTTCATTTTTTAATTTTTTCTTTTTACTCATTGAACAAATGTGTGCTGAGTGACCACTGTGTGAACCTGTGTTAGGAAATGCAGGAGAAGTCGGCAGGGTGGCCCACTTCTGTCACCTGGCCCCCAGGAGCTCCCACAGCCCTGAGACCTCAGGCCACACAGGCTCTCAGCCAGAGCCCCATCTCCATGGAAAGCCCAGGGGAAGCCTGGAGACCGTGTGCTACCGCCAGACAGCGCCCTGCTGACCACCGTCCTCATGGCCGGTCACGGCCACGGGACCAAGCCACATGGCGACATTCCCATTCTGTCTGGGCTGTGTCCTAGCGCCCTCCACGTGATGTCTCCGGAGACCCTGACCTTCCAATAAGCCAGTGCTGCGCTGCCTGCCCCTCTCTGTCCCTCTCCTGCCTGGTTTTCTTCCACCGCACTTGGCACAGGTATGTTGTCTGTCTGTCTGTCTACATGCCTTCACGGGACACACGCCGGGAGCTATGCTCCGTGACACAGGAATCTGTCATCCGTCAGTGTGTCCCCTGGAACATACTGGGACAGTGCAGGACACACAGTGGGTGCCCAGGAAATACTGTCAGAGGGATGGACAGACGGACGGATGAATAAATGAAAAACCGAACGGACACTCTACCCTGATCCTCCTCTCCGTTGACCTCCCACCGCTTCTGCTCCAGCCCTGCCATCAGCAAGGTCCTCATTATTTGCAGTGAGAACTGAGTGGTCCGCCCTGGCTTCTGCCTGGTGCCGCCCGGGTGAACGCTGTCCCGGCTCTGCTTGGCTCATGTCAGTAGTGTGTCCTCGGGGCTTGTCCCTGCCCCTCATGTGGATCTAGGGAGATGTACGCGTGGACGAAAAGTGGCTCCATCGCAGTGACTTCTTAAGGAACTACATCTGAGAAGGAGGCGCAGCATGTAACAAACACCAAGACAGAACCGAACTGGTCAGAATGGCCCTAAATGAAGTGACTTGTCAGATTCTGCAGAGACCTGTCAAGTGGGCGAGACAGAGACCAGAACAGGGAAAGGGAGAGAATTCCTGAGGCTTAGGTGGAAAAATGGGGGCGTCCATGTGAGTGTTGGCAGGAGTGTAAATTGCTGCAATGTTTCCAAAGGGCGATTTAGAAATAGCTGTTAGAATTAAGCAGATTCTTCCTCTTTCACTAGCCTTTCAATTTCTAGAAATTTACTCTGTGAAAACTCTCCTCTAACGGCTGGAAACATCCCAAGTGCTGGTCAAGAAGGAGATGGTTTGGTTATGAAACCACATAGCACACAGAGGAACAGTACAGTCATTAAAAAGAATAAATGTAGGATGCTTGTATTGTTTTAATTATGGTAAACAGGATGAGAAAAGTGCGTCTTAGTGTGTGTGATGTGATCCTGTTACCGAGTTTATATCGTGTTCTAGATCATGGGCTAACGGGGGCAACGTACACACGTCCCTCTCCTCGCAGAGATTAATCTTTGGTGGGACACGGACTATAAGCAAGTAGAGGTTTGAGGGCAGATGGCGCAGTGCTGTGAAGGAATGTGGTGGAAATGGGAAACGTGGAGTGGTAAGGGCTGAGGAGCCGTGAGGATCAGAAACAGCCCCTCTCAGGCGGCGCCTCAGAGCAGAGACCTGGATGAAGGTGGGAGCCGGGGCCTGGAGCGTCCAGGACGGGCGGGGAAGACCGTGGCTGGAGGGCGCCGACCGTGTGGGAAGAGGGCAAAGGGCAGATCTGAAAGGCAGCATTTTATGGGCTGCGGTAACAATTTTCGATTTTCCTTTAATTTTGACAGTAAACCATCACGAGATCTTGAGCTGGGGAGTGACATATTCAGATTTACATTTTTGAGGAATCGTCATGGCTCTTATGTAGAGAATGTTCAGCATTGAGTCCATATGGTATAACTGATTGTATCTTTCATCACACGATTCACAAAAGGCTGCAGTGACCAAGAGTGAGAGGAAATGTGCACCTGTCGGTGGTCAGTTTAGGGGAGTGGGCGCCGGCTCACAGGGTCATGAGGACTGAGAAGTTCCTGCATGTGCACACGTATGTGCAGTTTAGGTATGTGCTTATGTCTACAGAGTGCTTTTTCATATGTTATTAATAGGTATTAAATGATACTTTGTGAAAAATAGGAAGAAAATCAGAAACGCACGCAGGACGTGTGGATGGGAACGACGTGGCAGGTGCTGAGTTTAACCATTTGTCTAAGCTTTTAGCGTTGCCCTAATCAAAAGCATGTTTAGAATTTCATGTCCACGCTGTGGACAGAATCCCAGTTAGTCCTTTCCAGGGGCTCAATGTCTGCTCTGAACGTAGAGTTTGTCAGGAAAACCATCCACTGCTCTAATTCACAGGCACGAAGATGCTCACTCCCACACTGCCCATCGGACGTCGTGCAGTTGATCAGAAGGCCAGGAGAGAATGGAGAGGCCGTGGAGTTAGTGTAACACCCACTCACCTATGCAGGGGACCTGTATGGCGTCTCAGATGAGGTCTTATTTGTTGAAGCATTGGGAAAATCATTAAGTAAATTACTGCTGTTTTTCTTTACGAGGATTGCTGGCGCTGCCAGCACCACACTGCGGTGTTGTTCACACTTGGTCCTGAGTGAATCTTCCCTGTAGAGGTCGTGGCCCTTCATGCTGGTCTGCTCCCAAGCTCCAGACTAGGAGAAGCCTGCTGGTTGCTCAGTGTTGTCTCCACACAGCTGTCAGGGCCACGTCCGGTTGTGTATTGAAGGTGACAGGGATGCGAGGAGTTCATTTGGCTCGTTGAGGTTCAGGCGATGTGTGGGACAGGGCAGGTCAGATCATTGGTCAGATTGTTCTCTTAGACACTACTTGTCTGATGAACTTTAATTATATGCATAATGAACTATTGTATTTGCAGAATCCATCGATATTCAGGGGAAACTGTGTAAACAAGACTAAGAGTTTCTTTCACTCTCTCCTGTCAGAGTCAGGCCACAAGAAGTTGAAGAGTACCATCCAGAGAAGCACAGAGACAGGGATGGCGGCTGAGATGAGGAAGATGGTGAGGCAGCCCAGCCGTGAGTCCACCGACGGCAGCATCAACAGTTACAGCTCCGAGGGAAAGTAAGTGGTGCCAGCGCACGTGCCTGTGCAGCTCCAGCACCTGGACTGTGGTCCCCGTAAAACAGGTCACCGTGGGCTCCTGTGAGCCGCTTCATTCAGCCAGAAGTTTAACCATGCTTTTTAGAACAGCCTGACCAAGAGGATGCACACGAACACACAGGCACACCCACACTCCTGCACCGGTCCCCGGGCCCTTCACAGGGAGGAACAAGTGCTGGGTTACCATGACTAACTGACTTCTGTCACCGGAAAGGCTCAGAATGGCCCAGAGTGGGTGTGTATTAGAAATGCCACGTCGAATGGGTTCTTTCATAGGGGAATCTCGCTGGCCCAGGCACCAAAGTCTGAACTAAAATTTAGAAGTGGGGGATAATTTCCCATATTCCTACTTTTCTCCAAACTATTTTGGGCTCTAAGTTGTAAATCTAACACTCTCCTAATAGCAACGTAAATTTTCTTGTTTTTAAAACATCACTAACTCATTTTTACTTTAGCAAAATAGCTCAGGGTCTCTCTTCCTCATTATTTTTCTGATCAAAGAGTTCTAGCTAATTCTGAAATTAGTTAATTCTGAAAAAATATCAGATTTTTGTTTTGCTTATTTGGTTTTCTTTTTACTATTTTGTATAGATCCTGCACAAAACTTGCATTTTCCTATGCTTGAGAATTTTTCTGGTAAAAAAGTGAACTTTTTACTGGGGTGATAGATCTTACAAATAAGTAATTATATTCTGTAGTGGGTTACTTGGGGATTAACCAGGTATAAATTTTCTATAATTATTCATTTATTACCATTCATATCTTTCAAATATCAGTTTAATATTAATAATTTATTTTCTTTTACTGGCATTTTTCTATTTTGTTCAGAAAATGAAATAAAATTATGCAAAGTTAACATTCATGATACGCGTTCCCATTCCTGAAACTAGTGGGTCCGTTTGTTTGATCGGATGACTGATATGCACGCTCCCAGCAAAGTACAGGAAGAACAAAAATGGGCAGACATGATGGTTATGGAGGCAAACTTGCTGACAAAATACCAAGATTTGATGAAATATTATAAAGCAGTGTGCAAACGAAAGACTGGAGACATTATTTTCTGATACAAAAGTTAACAAATCAAATAATATTTACCTCCAGCATAAGCCACTTAACCTCCTGTGGATTTGTCGTCAAGGTCTCTGGAGGCGATAATAACATGAACCCTGTCTAGTTCCCTTGGTTGTGAGGAAATGATGTATGTGAAAGGACCCTGGAAATAACACATCTCCATGGAAAGCTGCGTATTCAGAAATACGTATTGAATGCCAACCTTGGAACAGGCAGTGTCCTTGTCACCCGGGACCCATAGGGCAACAAGACCAACAGAGTCACTGCCCTCTGACCTCAGAGCCTCAGATTTCAGGCAGTTCTGATGTCGTAAGAAATAGACATATTTTAATCAGTGCAGTCCCAGTTGGGCTAAATAAAACTCCCAGATAATCTATAAGTTTAATTCTTTCAAAGATGAATAAATTAAACATTTTTATTTGTAATAAGAGCATGTACTATGCTATATTATTTATTCAATAAATCATGACCCATTTTTTAAATTTAGCAATAATGTTCACGAGCAATTATTTACGTACAGTTCATGATATAAAAATCTGCATCTTGTATTTTATGTCAGTGATACGTTTACGTAGTGATCTGTGTTTGTAAGTACCCAGAAAACTTAGCATATTAACAGCTACAGCTGGGCCTGCTGAGTAGAATGTCTGTTGGGTATAAGTTCAGGGTGCAGACCTGCCGCCATCAGTCAGTGCTGAGCCGTGGGTGCTGGCTTCAGACACAACGCAAATCATTGGCAAATAAGCTGACACCAGCGCAGTTTAGGACTCGGGGTCAGAGCTGCAGTCAGAAGGAAACTAATGGAAAGAATTCGAAGGAGCTAACGTTCTGGGTTTGGGTTTGTTCTTTCGCTAATAGCTTGATATTTCCTGGAGTACGGCTAGGAGCGGACAGTCAGTTCAGTGATTTTCTTGACGGACTCGGACCTGCCCAGCTTGTTGGCCGGCAAACACTTGCCACCCCAGCAATGGGTAAGAATCATTTTTTTTTGTACAGAAAAACTCACATTTCGTGGTTGACAAGGTCATTTAAAACAGCATAGTAGTAATAGAAGGGAGAAGCAACAGTGTAGCTAGGTTGTTGGTGATTTCAAACAACTATTCTAATTTCTAATGCATTTGCCTAATTTGAGACATTATGCAAAATGAATAAAGTTATTCATAAATCTTTGAATTACTGGACAACCCTGCCAAGATAGAGAATATACAGTAGATCCAAACATAGAATAAGGCTAGCATTTCACATGGACAAAAAGATGGGTTATTCAGTAAAGGATGTTGGCATAACTGTTAAACTCTGGGAGAATTAATGAAATTGCCTCCCTACTTCACAACTTTAAAAAATTTGAGACTCAATTGTAAAAGAGAAAGGGGAGGTGGAAAACACTTAAGTCAATGTTTCTATTTTCTTGGAGTGGGAAAGAACTTCCAAAGGATCAAACCAAAGCAAGAAAATTAAAAACTTCTGCTAGCAAAATACACCCTAAATGAAGTTGAAAGAAAGATGATGAATGGAGAAGATAGTAGATATTTCCCTGAAAGACAGGAGATTCTGGCTTGAAAGGACCCATGGAGCACTCAGCAGAAGGTGAAAATAGGTCACCATGAAGGCGGAGCTTCTTGGGATTTCACAACGCTGAGCATTAATAGAAAACCCCCAAAGTTTCCTAAGAGGAAAAACAATTCTATACAAGACTATCAATAATCAGATTCACACTAGACTCTTCAATAATCATACTGGAAGCCAGGAAGCTATTAAGCATTACCATCAAAATTCTGAGTGACAGTTGATTTCCTGCCTAGAGTACCATACCCAGCTGGATCATCCAGTAAGTTTAAGGCTGGGATAAATACTACTCAGACAGGCAAGGTCTGAAGACATTATCCCATGCACAGCACTGCTCAGAAGCTACTAGATGATTTACTTGAACAAAATAAACTAAGTGAACTTAGAACGTCATGAACTAAAAAAAGAGGAAGATGAGATCCAGTAAATTCTCAATGCAAGAGAGAGAGATGATGGGGAGGCCCTGGAGATGGTGAAGGGAGGTCCGAAGACAGCAGCTGCATCAAGCTTTGAAAGCGATCTGTCCAAATAGTAGCCGGTCAGATTCCCTAAGATAAGTTCTGCAGAAAACACACCTAGTGTGTTTGATGTTATGGAGGAGGTAAACAGCCAGGAGAGAGTAAGGGGTTGAATTAGTGATATGTACATAACAATGTAAGCAAATTCTTCTTAAAAAGACACTTATTAAGTATAGGGAAAAGGAAGAGCTGTCCAAGAAATGAAGAGTAATCATAGTATTCCAGTCTACTCAGCTGCAAATAATGCTACGTAATCAAAATAATATCAATATTCATATTGGGAGAATGGGATGACAGAAAGGGTCAAGTATATGGTGCAGGTAGGAAAGTGGTGAGAGAAATGGAAACTAAAAGTCTAGAGTAATGACTATAACTGAAAAAAGAGGAAAATATTTTGTAGGTATACTATTTAGAGATAGGGAGGCAAATGCCAAAAAGTGAAAAATAAATCAGATAAAAATATTGAAAATTTTGAAAGCAGTGATCTTTAGAAGGCAAGAAGCTGAGAGAGAGGATGGGAATCTTTTACACTAATGACAGATTTATAGAACAGTGTGATCATTTAAATTATGTGTATGTGCTTTGAAAAAACACTGAAAAGAATAGAGAGAGAAAGACCTCTAGGATTTGAGGTCCAAAGCAGAATTTTAAAACTAATGAAAAATCCAGAACCCAAAGTTGGTCAACTGACCTGGCAAACAGAGAATTCACAACTGAGAAAATGGAGACGATGCAACTAACGAAAAGGAACCTAGAAATAATTATATTGAACACTTTCAGAGATAAATTATATCAATCGGGAAAAGATGAACATCCTAATAAAAATGGGTAGAGGATGTGAACAGGCAGGACGTAAGAGAAGGAGTATAAGTTGAAAATATTTAGAAATATATTCAGTTTCCCCAATAATCAAAGACATGGAAATTAATTTGTTTTTAACCATCAGATTGGCAAAAGTTAGATATATTGCTGCTGCCGCTATTAGTGGGTTGTGGTAAATGGAAGACAGGTCCTTCTGGGGACAGTGCAAACTGGCACAATCTTTCTGAAGGGTATTGATGATATGCACGGAGTTGTTGAAGGTCCAATCAGATGCAATAAGTAAAAATCTTAGAATTTATGCTCAAGAACTAATTGACCAAGTGTACAGAAATTCTTTATAAAGCTGGTGGTTATAGTTCTATTTATATGTAAATAACCTGTATTTCCATGAACGGGATCTGGCTGAATACGTAATGCCATGCCCATTCAGTGGAACACGCAGTCATTAAAATGAGGATGGATGGTCATGATAGTAGATGGATAGATACACAGGTAGATTTTTTTAAAGTATTTTGAGAGTGCTAGGATATTCACCAAAACTTTAATGGTGGTTTTCTCTAGGTAATGGAAATACTGATAATTACACTTTTTTATTAAGAAGAATTAGGTATTAAATGACATAAAGAATAAGAAATCTGATTAGAGTGCGAGAGTTACTGGAATACGTTGGTATTGCTGTAGTTAAGCGACTTATAACCTAATTTGGGACTCTCATAAGATGGATTAGGACCAGAAAAATGAAGAGAAACATTTCAAAACCTGATTTGGAGGCAAGGAAAGAAAAGTGGGTCTGGGACTCCACGTATTAGATTTTGTCCAGATCATAATGCGGATTCTGTTAGGACCTCCGTTGTTTTAACTCCGCCTAACACATGCTTCCTTCCACTCGCAGGCGACATACAGATCGGGATGGAGGACAAGAAGGGCCACTTAGAAGTGGAAGTGATCAGGGCGCGTAGCCTCACGCAGAAGCCGGGCTCCAGGTCCACGCCTGGTAAGGACAGGTGCTCCTGAGCCGGGAGAGACTCTGACACAAGGCAAAACTCACAGCGTTTGCTGCATTTGAATGTTGCATGGTCTGCTTTCATTCTCTGACTGATGAAAGAGGCAACTTTTCCGTGTTCCCTGAGTCTATAAAATGGATCTGGGTTTTCCTTGCCCAATTATTCTGTCAGAAAGTATTAGGAAGAGTATTGTCATGTGAAGAAAAGTTTAGTTATGAAGGTTTCTTAGCTTGTGTCATTGATTTTTTCTGCACATTTAAAAATGCAGAAGAAAAAAATTTAGTTTTAATCGTAAAAAGGAAGCAGTGAGTTTTAAGATATAAACCTGAATTGTAATGCCAGCTATAACCCAACTAAATCAGTCTTGTGACAACTTTGCGTACATTTGAAATGAGGAAAATGGCAGAGATGGTAACATGGGTTTGAGGAATAGAATTTATGGGGCACTGGAGATTGAAAACAATTCACGTAGTCAAGGGGAACCTCTGATTCTCTAATAGTCATTCTCTAATAAAATCACTTTAACCTAAAGGATTAACTTTTAAATGTTCGTGTGCCCTTTGTTCAGCTCCATACGTCAAAGTATATCTTTTGGAAAATGGGGCCTGTATAGCCAAGAAGAAGACGAGAATTGCACGAAAAACCCTCGATCCTTTGTATCAACAGTCCCTGATTTTTGACGAAAGTCCACAGGGCAAAGTTCTTCAGGTCAGTAAGAGTTTGTTCAACTTTTTACGTTGTAATATCCACAGTATCCATGTAAACATGGACAAGGCCATCACACACACAGAGAATAAAGTTCAAGAAGGAGAAATGTGGAATAACATCCTTGAGTGGAAAAAAAACAAATTGTTAACTTACGAATAATGCATAGCATTAAAAATATCTGGTGGATCTAATGAAAAACAAAATTTTATTTTCTCTCTGCCTTCTTTTCATCCTTCTCTCCATCCTCTTCTGCTTTTTCCCTATTTCCCACCCTTCCCCTCTTCTTGAGAGATAGATAGATGAGAGATAGGTAATGGATAGATAAATGATAGATAATAGATAGATGATTGATAGATAGATAGCAAGGCAAACAATGCTAATAACAGTTCATTGAGTGTTAGTATGAGCCAGATATGGGATATAAAGAGGAAGAAAGGAAAGAGAAGAGAAGTGTGCAGGGACCAGCAAAGATTCGGGACTAGCTGAATGTCAGATGCACCGTCAGGTGCTTACAGACATTACCGTTTTTAAATGCTTTAACCACCACGTGCAATAAATATGATTATCCTCATTTTAAAGATTATGTCTGAGGATCACAGGAATTAAATAATTTGGCAGAGTCACTCAGTAAATTGAAAAGGCAAGATTCACCACCCCTGGCTGTAGAGTGGTGAAGGAGTTCAGTTGGGAACCTTCACAGGTGCCTAAGGCACCTGGGAGTAAGTGTAATGGAACGCTTTCCTGACACCACTGGGAGCTGCCCCCGACTCTGGTAATTGTCACTGACTTACCAATCATCTGATCAAACCAGTTTTGCCAGGCAAGTCCTCAGAAGCTGCCAGCTTATAATTATATTTTCAACTTTCACTAACAAGTCCGTAATATACAGGAAAGTTAATGAGTGTTCTCCCCCTTTGTATGTATTCCATCACACACCCACTCCACCATACACTTGGTTGGGTTGTTTTGCCCTCCTCTCTTGCACAAATTTTAAATTTTATATCTCTGTGGCCCTGCACATTGCTTCCCAGAGAGTAGTTAAGAAGGTGTTGAGTTTATGTATAAACGGACTCGCGTGTGTTCGTGGACGAGGGTAGCACGGCTTGCCTTCCGTCGAATCTGAAGTTGTCGTGAGTGTTGTAATGATACCGTGATGCTGGCGTCTTCTTGTCTATTCCTCCTCCTCGGAATTAGTTGCATCATTTCTTCCCCCTCTCTGACTGGCCCGCTTTTACAAAATAGTTGCTTTCAACTCTTCAGACGTGAAAGAGAGAGCAGTTCAAGTTTTACCACATTTCTCTGTCTCTGCAGGTGATCGTCTGGGGGGACTATGGCAGGATGGACCACAAATGCTTTATGGGTGTGGCTCAGATCTTGTTGGAAGAGCTCGACCTGTCCAGTATGGTGATCGGCTGGTACAAGTTGTTCCCGCCGTCGTCACTGGTGGATCCCACACTCACACCCCTCACGCGCCGGGCTTCCCAGTCGTCTCTGGAAAGTTCAACTGGGCCTCCCTGCATTCGATCGTAGTGAACTCATACCAGAGTCATTCCAATAAAACTCTGCCTTTCAGGATAATAATCTGAACCAGATATTTCATGATCAAAAGCATTGTTGGAGACAGACAATCAACTCGTGTTTTGCCTGTAGTAGTTTTTCAATAATATGTCCCAATTGTTGTTTAAAACCTGGCTTCATAGGACAGAACAAGGCAATCTACCACATTACAGTAAGAGTCAGCATGCTGGTGAGAGTCACTGATGCTTCTATAGATAGAAAAGGAGGAAACTTCAAATTCACACACACACACCCCAAACTAAAGAGGCTGGAAACTCTCACTCTGTGAACAGTTGTGTCTGTCGCATTTCTGCACAGACCACAAGCAGTGTTATTTCCCTAGTGTTTGAGAGGTTCTGTTTCTCTGTGTGTTTGTTGGGTTTTGGTTTCTTGATTTGTTTCGTTTTTCACCGTACTTGTCATTTCCTTGTTTTTGGCTGTCATGACAGGCCTCATGATGCTTACAGAGACCCTTCCTTTCTTTTTCCAAAATCACCAAAAAAGGGCTGAAGCGGTCTCTGTGGCGTCCGGGTGAGAGGAGGCCAATGAGGGCTCCAGCACTTTTCCTTTATGGTTCTTCAGTCTCGCGTGGGGAAACCCAGGAAACAAAGGCTATCTTCCAAAACAACCACAAAATCACTTTTTTTAATGAAGAGCATATCTGTTTGCATTCTAACAAATTAGTTCATGTTTTCCATTGCTTTGCATGGAAGACGTAAAGAGGTCGGTGAGCAGCTAAACCGAGAACTAAAACTAACCCCATCATGGTCCTTCGGAGACACTCCTTATAATGCCTTTTTCTTCCTGATATCCAAAAAAAAAAATGTGCTCATGTGTATTATCCATACTTTTGACTTCCCAAAATGGTGACTAGAAATGGATTTGAGCCTAAGACACTTTGAGCTACGCCCAGGCTCCTCGCCATGTCTCTGTGCAGACACACCATCTACCCTGGAAAGAGCACAGTATGAGCTGTCCAATATTCCACTGGAAATTCCAGTTGAAATATTCTGCACTAAACTAATGTTTTTATCAAGTTTCATTTTACATTTCTTTGAGATTGATGCAAGCACAAAGCTTGATTTTTTAACGCAAAGTATCTTACTTTTTTGGGGGAAAAATAAAACAAAGTCAAATTTCAATTTGCATTTTCTTCATTGGAGTCTTTCTCGGTCTTGAATTTCCTTGTGACATTCTGTATGTGTGCTATGAACTGCAGACTCTGCAGGCGCATTGATGTGTCCTCCCTCCGATGAGTCGTTCAAATTTTGTGCTTACACGGTAGAGCAGCATGGCTTGGAACTGTTCAAAGCTGCATGCACATTTTGTAAAAAAAAAAAAAATGAAAAAGAAAAGAAAGGTTATTTAATAATGTACGTTAGTTCCACATAGGCCCGCTCGTGTGTTGCATGTACTTTACAATTTGCTCGTTAATTACTATACTGAAATAACCAAGAAATCTAAGCCATCCGTTTTTGTTATAGACATTTTGCAGGTTTTAGCCTGACTCATTCTGAGTCTGGGGTGAAATGTCTATAGATGGACTTTATTTTTTACCCTCTGGAAAACGTGATGTAGTAAGGACCAAATTCCTTCTAATAAATACTTCGGTGTAGATTCCTACTGTGGGGCTGTGACACGTGTAGACACTGTGTGCACACTAGGTTTTAATCCATAGACATACTGCCTGCACCAAGTGAGTTATTGATTATTATTTACACATGCCAGAATTACCTGCCCATCGTTCCACAGGCCCAGACTGACCACTACTCACCATGCTGAGCAGGAGGAACCGAAGCCTTGGTGCACTTCTACTAGATTCCGTTCTGTCTTAGTGGCCAACAACCAACTGATTATAATTGGGTAGTATCTTTCTATTTTGACCACTTGTCTTAACACTCCCCTGTGCTTTTAAATGAACTTCCAACTCATGTATGTAAACATGTTTAATAAAACTTACTTTTCATGTCAGTCGTAGCCATCTGTGTTCTGTGTTTTGCCAGGTATCCATTGTGAGCTCTTTGGTGCAAAACGGGGGCTGGGTCATGGGAGGGGAGGCTGGGAGTTGCTGTCTGCTGTGGGCGTTGACTTACCCCTCACTCTATGTGTCTTAACCTACGGCCCAGATGGTACTTTCATCACATACGAATTTTTACCTTGTCAGCCTGTCTAAGTGAGCACATGACTATACTTCTGAAAAGTGGCATTATTGAAAACAATAAATAGTAAGAATCAAATGGAAGGTGGTTTTTCTGCTGCTGTGTGAGTGTGCTAATAAAACAGACAACTCTGTGTCCAGTTGCCGAATCATTTCAAGTTATGTGACGTGTCAAATATCAATTCCTGTGTCTCCCGTGACAGCACCTGGTCCTTCTCTCCATCTTCTCCTTCTGAAGTCCTGCCTGACTTGTAGAATTTGACAGCCCAGCAAACCAGGCGGCTACACTGAATCATCTTCAGTAGACTCTTAGGGAATAAATACACCTTCAAATATAATAGATGAGTCTCAAAAGTAATACGGTAAAAGAGAAATTGCTAGCTTTCTTAATTTAATTTCATGACTGTTTTCTTCTCCAAAGGTGTGGTCGTATATTTCATAATCGTCATCCTCACAAAATACTTCATAAGCACTAATTTTATACTGCATTGCAATAAAATAACTCTTGAGAGCTGGTCTCCACTTTCTGAGAGCCCTGAGAGTTTTATAGACCACACCGGCTTTAACTTTGTACAGCAGAATATAACACAGCTAAAGGAGTATCAAATTTGAGACCAGGAAGCAATCTGAGACATGTCACTACATCAGTTGTTTAAAGTTTTTTCAATTTTCCCCTGTCGAGTCAGCCGGTTGTTTGGTCTACAGGACGCGAGATTATCTGTTGGGCTTGGTCAACAGGAGACGAAAATAGCTGCTCTGTCCAGCTTACGGCAGACTGTCAGCGCAGAGCTGTCCCCCACGCCCAGCAGTAAGATAGCACACGCCCGAGCAGGAGGCTCCAGGCGTCTGGACAGAGACAGACGCAGACGTCCCTCTCCAGTAGGATGAGTCTGCACCGCGCTCCTGTTTCAGGGCCCACGGCGACCGGGGGGGCAGTCACTGGAGGAGGAGCAGCTTTGCAAAGTCTTCAAGGTTTCCTGCTGACTCTGCAAACTTAGTTTCTGGAAATCCCAGCCTGAGATACTTGATCTGGTTAAGCTTAACCAACGTGATTAAGGGCTTTGTCATGTATCCCAAGTCCTTGGGATATGAAAATGAAGAAAGCCCAAAACTGGCCTGTCTTGAAGGAGCCACCTGTCTATTGAGATTGTTACGTAAAGGAGTAGTTGCAGTAACATGGAATGGATATGTGTACAACGGCTGGGGAGTACGTTGATCCTCACACTACCTGTGAGGGAGATGCTCTTAGGACCACTGTGTCACGTGCAGGATATGCAGCTTGGAGAAGCCGAGCCGCAGGCTGAAGGCCACGGTGCTGGTTAGTGACGGAGCTGGGCAGGACCCAGGCTGGCTGACTCCAGACCTGCCCTGTGTCCTGCACGAAGTGCCCACGATGGAGCTGTGTCTTCAGGAATGGAGCCTCAGCTGGATGGAAAGGACTCTGACCCAAACCGTTCTCGGGTCTGCAGGCAGCTCCGGCCAGTGTGGTCTGGCTGCATGTTACCCGAGGGACGCTGCCATGGCCACAGGATGGGCGGAGGGAAAGGAGGCCAGGGCAACTGCTCTCGGGCTGCTGAACCCTCTTCTCAGGCTCTCCTCTGTGTCCTCCCCTGACAGCACTGGCTGTCGCATCCTTGGACTTCAAGGACACCTCCTAGCGGCTCTCAGGAAGTGGTAAGTAAAGAAGCTGGAACAGCTGTCTTTAGCGGAACCCCACACTTGTCCTTTGGCTCTGAGGTAGAATGGTCTTCTGAGTCCCCCACCCAACTGCCTGTCCCCAGCCCCAGTGCAGCAGTGCCCCTCAATTCTGCCTCGGTCACGAAATTCTGCCTTTGGGGTTGAATCCAGCCCCACAGAGCTTGTCAGTCCCCCCGGGGTCAGGCCATATGCCCTCTAAGTTACTTGCTTGCATAATAGATTCCATGACTCTCCGTCTGTGTGGAGTCCCTTGTCCTCAGAGGAGCCCAGAAGCCGTCAGTCCCCTGCACAGCTCCGCACCCCACAGAATGCCTCTCTCGCCTCTGAGTCCCCTCAGCTCCCACTCAGGAGCACATGGCATCTCCTCAGCGTGAACCAGACATGACTGATGTCATGGCATCACAGGATGCCGTTTTATTAGTTGATCTCACACAGGTTACTCCAAAGTCACAGTTTGGGGCAAAGTCTTGGGAAGTTTGTTTTTTCTTTTTCTCAGTCACCACAAAGAGAGACTATGGGGTCACCATATCCAGTTACTGCTCAGACACTCTCCTCTATCTCATTAGCTCCCCAAATGGGAAATGTTACCCACATACACCGACCATGTGGGTACGTATGGTGACCTCTGATGATGCATCAGAGCTTCACTACCAAGAGCTCTTCCTAATTACATGGACCCTCCAGCTTATCCCGCCCCTTCCCTCCATCACCAGACTTCAAGAGTGGCCTTCTCTAGCCTGCCTCCAAAACCTCGCCTACTGCTCCTTCAGGACGCCCAGGGAAGGCTGCCAGATCAGATGCAGCATACTCAATTAAATTTGAATTTTATATAAACAATGAATAATTAAACTTACATATAATTTAAAAATTAGTTTTTGTTTATCAGACATTCACATTTAACTTGGCATCCTATGTTTTTATTTGCTGGATCTGGCAGCCCTACCCCTATTGCCATGCAGCCTGTGTCCCCACCTTTGCTGAATTGCTCTCCCAAAAGACACCTAAACACAGCAAGTGACAACAGCCCTTCCTCAGCATATTGGCCCTCTCCGATCTGCCGTTGGAGATCTCCTTGCTCAGCGTGTTGACCCTCTCCGATCTGCCGTTGGAGATCTCCTTGCTCAGCGTGTTGACCCTCTCCGATCTGCCGTTGGAGATCTCCTTGCTCAGCGTGTTGACCCTCTCCGATCTGCCCTTGGAGATCTCCTTGCTCAGCGTGTTGACCCTCTCTGATCTGCCCTTGGAGATCTCCTTGCTCAGCGTGTTGACCCTCTCTGATCTGCCGTTGGAGATCTCCTTGCTCAGCGTGTTGACCCTCTCTGATCTGCTGTTGTAGATCTTCTTCTTGGGAACGTTTCTCTCCTCTACTCACTGTCCAAGTTGTTCTCCAACTTAAAGACTTGATTTTGTTCCCAACTCTTCACTCCTTCACACCCAGTCCCATCCCTGTGTGGCTTTGCAGGGCCTCACAGTATGGTGACTAAGAATGTATACCCCTGTCCCATTGACTTTGGGTTCAGCCAGATGACTTGCTTCTTACTTAGTTACTTATTTAGCTACTAAGTTCGTCACTGTCAGGTAAAGTTAGTGATGTGACACCAGCAGAGGCCATTCTCCATGGGATGGGCTTTCTACAGGTGGGCACTGCTCATTCAACCTGGTCTTTGGAGGAGAGACATATGGGGCAGACCCAAACCCAACTCCCAGCTGAAACTGCCCCATCTGACCTCAAGATCTGTGGACAATAAGAAACGTTTTCATGAGCCACAGAGATTTAGAGGATGTTTGTTATGCAGAATTATTATAGAAAAACCTAATATACCGTATACCATCTTATTTAATAGCTTCTCTCCATTAGCAACCATGCTGTATAATTATTGTTCTAGGCACTGAGTAAGGCACAAATGTGCATAAGACACAGATTCTTTAACAGTCTGTAACTTTGTTTATTCCACAAGATTACAGCCTTTTTCTCTTTTTCTGCTCTCCTCTCGTGATCTTATCTACTCCCAGATTTCAAGTATTGCCTCTATTTTAATGTTAGCACTGCAGTTTCTCCAATTAACAGGTCTGAGTCCCAAACTGTTTACAGGGTATCTCTTAATGATTCAGCATCTCAAATTGCACAGATCTAAAACAAAATTTCGATCAGATACCCCCATTTCTGTTGGACATCAGCTTTTCCAAGCTTTCCATATTTGATTTATTCTTGCTATTGATGATACAGGCAGTGAGAGAATAATTAATGAATAAAGTCCATGAGGAGTTAGAAGAGGATGGGTTCCATTTACACCTCACTCATTCAACAAATTTTTATTGTCTTTATTTTGTACCAGGTAAACAGCCATATAATGTTAAAGAAAATGAAAAGGAGCCCTGCCCTAAAGTAAGCACAGTTTAGTGAGGAATAAAGATATTTGTCAAATAATAGCTCATGTATACAACAGCAAATTATAATTAGTGATATGAAGTGAAATTACTGGGAGCTATAGAAATATATACTGGGTATCTTGCCCATTGTTGGACCTAGACTGAGAGAGAAAGTGGCTGAGTTGTGAAGGCTTTCTTCAAGAAGTCAAGTTTCAGCTGAGACCCATAAAGAGGGAAGAGGAAATGTGTGCAAAGGCTAAGACGAGAGAACGCGGCACATTCTAGAACTGAAAGGAGGCTGCTGTGGATGAAGCGCAGAGAACAAGGAGGCTGGGGAGGCAGGTGGGGGCAGACCTAGTGTTCTCTCTGGAAATCCAGATGGGTCCTGAGTCTCTACAGCTTTTACCACGGAATCCTTTAAGTAAAGGCGTACACCGGTCTTACCACACACATGTAGTCAATGCATTTCTAGTAAATATAGTAGTTAGGGGAGTGACCACTGTAAAGAAGAGACCCCAAACATCTAACAGCTCAAGGGCAGTAGAAGTGTACTCCTTTCTGGGAAACCGAGTTGGAGAGTGAACAGGTGAACATGACTGTCCTCGTCCACATGGTATTTGGGAACCCAGCTGATAGACGCCCCAGAATCTTCAAGCCTCCCTGAAAATTGTCTCCTTGCAGCCATCTTGCATGGGAACAGAAAACAGAGGATCACTTGCAGATGCTTATGGTCCATGTCTGAGGT